CCCGTGATTTGCTCGGTGGGAGGCTTTCCAAGACAACGTACACGAATTTTCCTGGGGAATTCACATCCGGAGCCTTTGACTATCCAAAGCCTGACTCACAAGGCAGCGGGGTAGTGAGTGAAAGCTACAATCCGTGTGATCATTCGTCCTTTGAATAGAGTCAAACCGCTAGGGTGACCAAGTATAACTCGATATACAATCTGACAGGCGACCACTATCAGAACCACGAAGGTGTGGGTATGGTTCTTACAGATCTGCTTGGTGACTAGAATTAGTATTTTTAGCCAACTCCCCTAGGTGGACTGCTGGTGGTCGGCCGAACAAGTAATAGCCGCAGATGATGGCTTTTTGTCCTCTCATTTTGTTGAGAAAACACTTCAGCCAACCATTAGGATGAACTCGTCCTTCTGTCATATTGAGAAACAAGTTATTCTAGATCACGTCCACTGGAAGATATCAAATGATAAATACAGTAATCGGAGTGAACACCATGCGCCGTGAGCCATACATGGACTGGTTCACGGGGTACTTGAACATATCTTTTTCAGAGAACCTTGTATTTTTTGCAATAAACTCGATTATAAGTGGAATGCGTAAATGGGGAGTAGCATAGGCATTAAATTCAGTTAAGACCAAGTAACGATTTTGTGGGGTGGGCAGAAACAGTCTGAACCGCAACTCGGCCAATGTGAGCTAAAATGATGACTGAAATATTCGTTCGTCTAGCACCAGGGAATAGAGACACTTGACAATGGTGAACAAGAGTCCGAGCGGACATCTAATGAAGGAATGGGAGAGGGACGGGAACATACGAGCGAAGTCAAAAGTAACAGCCCCAAAGGGGATTGAAGAAGTGATTTACAAACGGTGACCCAGGAACCACAAGTTCGGTTCTGGGAGCTGAATTCTGGTGAAATTAGGCCAATAGGGTAAAGCCAAAGCACCAACACAAACGGCTTCAATATTTAGAAGGAAGATAGTAGAACACGGTACATCTTGTGCCGCTTCATTTCTCCTTTTGGAAACCTTATTTCCATACTACAGCTAAACCGAAGTTCACATCTGCCAAATGGCGTTCCAAAAACATTCCAGAACCTATTACACGGTGCGCGTTAATGGGCCACATAAGCCAGTCCAATCGATTCCTATGCCTATAAAACTTGTCGGGTTATTGTAAATAGATATCTGGATCCCGGGACTAAGCACTCATTAAAAGTACATGAAATAGTCCAGTAGATTAACTGGTTCAACACCAAAATCAAACTTCAACCGAACACGTGCTAAACTTTGGGTTTCTTCCTGTATGAACTAAGCACTTTGCTTGTCCATCAAGTTCGCAGCGAAGAATTATCTTGCGTTCTATTGAGGTTTTCTGGCCCCATTTTCAGTTGTTCATAATCAGGTTTCGCTCTATTCAGCCGCGAACTTGACCCACGAAATTTCGTGCTATGCTATTTACACCCGGCGCTCAAGAAGAGAACAGCAATCAAAGCGCCGGAAGCCTCAAATGCACAACGAGAAGAGCGGCCGACGATCAAACAAACAACACTACCATATATGCAAGGAGTCTCAGAAATGACAGCTAGATTATTAAATCCATCAGGATTTCTGGTTGCACACAACACAACGGCTACAGTGAGGGCTATCCTATCAAAACCAAAGGATCAACTGCTAAAAGAAGATTCTTCAAACGTCACATACAAATTAGTGTCGAGACTGTGACAAATACTACATCGGCCAAACTAGCCGAGAAAACTCAAGACCCAACTATACGAACACACACTGGCAGTCAAAAGACACGAGGAGAAGTCTCAAATCTCAATCCACATGGATGCTGAAAGCCATATATGCGAACTGGACAACGCAAAAATAATCGGAAAAGGAATTACAAAGTCGATAGGGGAATTCATCGAAGAATGGCACTCCAGGAGGGACTGCATAAACAAACATAGAACTGAAACCAATCGATCATTACCTAAGGAACCACTGGTAACCCAAAACTGTCTCACCCAAAACCGACCCAGAACCAGTTCGAAATCGGTTTCCCGTTGGTCCAAGAAAGCCAATTGACCAATGAAGAAAAAAGGGGCGTCACCACGACAACGACGCAACCAATCAAATTACAGCAAATGGCCACAACTGACCAATAGGATTGAAGGGACGCATACGGCCAATCAAAACCCCTGAACAGAACCATATAAGCGCAGTCACACTGAGGACCGGCGCTTTCCCGAAGTTGCCTAGCCTGACCACGAAACGTCTGCGAACAACACTCCCAGCTCGGAGAACACACCAACAACAACATCCACATCCCGAGCTACAATCGTCCCATATTATTTCCAACGAAACAAGTTATCATCCGTTCCCGGTGTTCTAATCAAGAATTTAATCTTTGACATGTCACAGCATTCAAATAACTTGGATGTTTTGTTTCTGACAACTTCAAGTGGTCATGTCGTATACAACTTCTCGCCTCTTACACCTCACACCTGCAACATCTAAATTCATTAATTCCTGTGTTCCCCTGTCATCGGTCTTATTTTTCCCGGATTACATGCTCTGACAAGACATTGAAGGCATTCACACATTACACGGTCCTACAAACGTATTTTCGAATATGGAACCATGCAGCGCTGGTGGATTTCATGATCAATCGACACCTTGTAGCTTGCACTCGTCTGTGAAACTCGATTACGGCTGACGCTCCATATCCTCGCGTATCCCCGACACCGCCTCGATCCAGCCCTGTGCTACCCGCAATAGATTAGAATCTTTGCTGTCCTTGCACTGCCCACTGTGTCTTATCTTCCTCGTTTATTGTCTAGCCAGGGGCGACTATCCGACGCGATGAAACAAAATCTCATTGTCCATAACAAAATTATTCTCCTTCCCCGTGGCCACTTCGCACAATACTGCAATCGCGAACGTTTTTTCCTGCACTTCACGTACATCCAAGCCATCATGTATTTGGCAGCTTAGCGGAGATAGACCTGCTAGCTCATCGAATTCATATTAGAGCGGTTCCCTGGCTAGCGCACGTATTGCATATGCCCAACTGTTGTCTGCTGCACCGCGCTGTAGCTAATCCAGGCTAGAGAAAACCACGTGGAAGTCAACAGATGACGTAGAGTCGAGACATGAAGAAATGCACAGAGCTATTGGGTAGAGTAGATGTCACACGCCTTCCAGATTGGAGATATTGAACGATATGGCAGCGAACTGGCAGCAGTGGCGTTCTTGTTGTCATTTCTCATCAGATCAGAATGCTTGAAACTGTATGTATGCACAGTTAGATCATGCAATCCGTTTTTTGACCATAGAGGTTCACGCCTGCCCCGTCCCTCAGAACAGGTCCAATCCCTGTCCACCTTACATATTACCACTAACCATGTATGCATTGCGTGTGGCAGCGATCGGTGAAGTTCGCCCCACCGTATTTCGCAGTACGATGATGATGATGCGTACCCAAGGTAATGGGATAACTTTTTCCACCGAAAATCTGTCCACAACGATCGCGTTAAGTACATTTTCCACTCCTAACTATCTGCTGATGAATCCCTACTCAGTGCCTTCCGGTGGCGGTGTTCCCCCACCAAAGTGAGAGGACTAAAAGCCAACATCCGGGTCGGCAAAACACTGGCAGCGGAGTTGGCTGAAAACCTTGATTCCACATCAACCATCCGCACCCATACATTCCTGGTTGTAGCAGTGTCCACCGATTCGATTAGACATTGAAGTGTATGGGGCACTCGGGTGGTGTTTGGACCCCGTTCAAAGGGCGTACGACCCGACTAATTGGATACGGACCAGTAACAGATCGCAATTTTCACATCAGCCAGCTGTCTTGCAGGTCACAGTTGACTTTACAATCGCACAATGCATCTGATGAGCACTGAAAGTGTCAATTTCATTTCAGGTTGAAAGTATACCTACATATTATTTACCAGACAACTAGCATGATCAAAAACATGTGTCACAAAAGTTGATGTTTTCATTAAAGTAAGAAAGCACAAAAACCACAACCGAGATCACATAAAATGGGTCGTCAGCTCATTTTGGGGAGCTGTATATATGATTCTCAAAATCACATTAACAGGCGTGCGACTACCATCCAGGAGACGTCCTGGTCATCGATCGATCGGGCAATATAATGCGTTGAGCACCCAAGATTCGTAAATCTTGCCTTGAGGAGTAGATGCAAGATTCAAATCACCGAACACCGGCCTTAAAGGAACACATCACCCTGATGCTGGACGGATCAGGTCCTATCTAACAGAAAACTTCTGTTGACATTCCAGAAGAAAATCAAGTCTGTTGGCTTGGGAACCTAGGCAGCATCGTATCAATGTACAAGTTATGGAGTGATTTATCATGACAGTACATGATGTATCATGATTTTTGTTTGATGCGGTCTGCATTCGGACAAGTGTTGGAAAGAACCACAATAATAATCAGTTCGGGAACGTCACTTTTCAGCTTACATTCTTCCCAGTTTGCTTTTACTCATTCACACGCAGCTTTCCATTTTTGTTTCACACTCTCCACTTTAGCACAAAGTCGAGACAGACACTGATGATCAGCTGATCAGTCATCCACATGTTGAACGTACCGCGAACTCCCGATCAATGTGAACGGGAAACTCGGAAACACAACACGTTTACTTTGCCTGATTGTCTTTATTCACGTTGTGAAAGCATACAAAAGCTACACACAAAAAAAGTTTGTGCTAAGGCAGAGCAGATGTGTGTAAAAAAACAATCCTTGAATTGGTGTGCAGAACAAACGATAAGAATAGTTAGACCTGAGTGAAAAAGGTTCTAATTGACACCAAAACACCGATTGAGGTAAGAGTGAAGGGCAGGGGTGCGGTGGACGAATTCGCACACAAAGAAAGTGAGCCTCGGTAAGACCGAGATGATAACGAAAATGTGTTTGTGCCACCTCGCCCAGGACGAAACACCAATGGGATCGTCGAATCCAGGATGAATTTCTCCATTGTCCTAGTCAATCTTGTCAGACTGCGGGTTTAGCATCGCCGTACGAATATTGACGAGAGAGGCAAAACTAAGCCACGCGATGTACGGTATCATCAAATTGCTCGCAAGCTCATTGATCGGACGGAACGCAAAGAAGCAGCCAACCACCATGCCCAGTGTGCTCAAAATGACCGCGACGGACTAAAAACAATACGGACAGGGTGGCACGGATAGAGGCAGAGAAGAGCAAACGTGTGAAAAAATCATCCACATTTATGCATCAAGTAGCATCATTAGGAGAGACAGTTCGTGATAAGTCCTAGTGAGGTGAACAATGGAATGTCTGGGGAAATAGTAACCTGCATGAGGTTTCCGGTTGCGAAATATTAACGTGCATTAGTGATAGTGTATCGGATAACAAGGTTGATCATTATCTCATAAATGCGGACGTGTTTTCCCACCAGAGTGAAAGGGTGAAAAGGAAGTATCCGGGGCTATTACCGAGTCGATGAGCCACTGGCAGTTCGCGTGGAGGAGCTGGCTGAAAACCCTGATTCCAAACCAATCAAGAGGCGTACGAACGACACACACACACTCCTGGTAGTGGCCACCTGCTAAAACGTGTATCGAGTAATATTGGTCACCTTGGTGTTTCCACTCTATTCAATGGATTGAGGTTTTCACACCATCCCGTTGCCTTGTGAGTCAGGCTTTGGATAACCGAAGGCTCCTGTCGTGAATTCCGTACGAGAATTCACCTGATTTGGCCTGAGCTACCTAGCAGTATCTTCCCCTCGAGCAAATAATGAGTATGTTTTCTTTGTATAAAGATTATTGTACCGTGGTTTGTTTGGCACCCAGTCTGAACTCAGACGTGCGTGAAAATATATGATATAAACAAAAAATTAGCATACAATCAAACTATGCACACTAAAAGTCAAAAGAATCTAAACAGAAAATTGGAAACATAATAATGAGCCTCCGGCTAAAAACGGGCTGCTCTGACCATTGGGCAGTTGATGCATGAAACTTAAACGCAAGCCAGAAAAATCATGCAGAACTTCTTCGGGTTGTTCCATTCCGAAAGAGTAAGAAGTGAGTCATGAAAAGTTGACCCCAAACGGTTAATTAATCTTTTACGTAGATCCGTATGTGCCTCGGTAGTTATGCAAAGCGAAACTCGTTTTCCATTGTCATTGATCACGACTACTCTGGACTGACCCGAACCCGGTGCAAGTTCACGGGCAGTACACGTTTGGCTGTCTTTCACTTGTAGTTATCAGATGATCAAGTGGAATTCGTTAACGATTAGAACACAGCACGGAGGTGCCATACAACAGCCTCCAGTGGTGCGTTCTTTGCGTCCTATCTGGTTGACACAGGATATGGCTTACAGCCACGCGTCTAGCGGCTAATACTTTCTTTGTAATCGCAACCGAACAGTAAATTCCTGTGACTATGGTCTATACTACGTGTTGAAATAATGCATCCGCGAGCTCGCGCTTTATTCCACCTGTTTTTTATGACATACTGCACAGGTTCTTTGGGTAGTGGTTATCTGTACTGTGGCGAAGAACGTAAGGAAACAAGAGATGAATAACTGACCGCTTTTATTTTATGTGCTCCGAAAAATATGGGCGTCCAAGACCAGTTCAGAATAAGTTGACCACCATAAAGAGCCAGTGGCAAGGTCACTTTGTCCGGGGAAGCATTACGCCAAACCAAGTAGGATGCTACACCCATAGACATGTAAAGGGCGCTCCAGACAGGTGGAAAAATCCATTTTGGCGGAGCGAATGACGGTCTTTTCAACGTGTCGTACCAAGCCATGTTGCGTGCGACAACTCGGCGGCCATAGATGGAGCCCAGAAATGGGAGCCCCACAAACGGTATAGCTCGAATATCTAGCGTGGGCGCCTGCAAGGGAAACAAACGAATCGTGTGAGTCGTCGCACAGAACTTAGTTGAACGAGAAACGGGCCGGGTCATTGAGCGGGACAGTCCTGTTGGTATTTTGTAGTAAAACAAAACGAGCAGCAAAACAGTGAAGAATTCAATGTGCAAAACATGAATACCGAGGACCATAGAGATGGAATATCGTGTGGATAGCCAGTTCGTTCTCCTTCCGTCACGACGAGACTGCACCTTGACGTGGTGATGGCTTTTGCACCTCTGTGACCCAACGAGCTATACAGGATAGCTTTTGTTAAGCCAGGAGATCTAATCATGACAGGAAGGTCAATGGGTAGAGGTCAGACGAAGTTCAACCTCCTGGTCTTCAAGGTTGGGGGTTCGACTAGAATTTGCATTTCAGTCGGTAAAAAATGGTGGAGAAACAATCGATCCAAGTAAATGGGCCTCCACTTCGTTTCACCCGCTGCTTTGCGGTTAGGTTCTTGTTAGAACTAAAGGCTTTGAACGAGAACCCTAATCGCTCTCCTGCGTAGTGGCTGGACACCCTAGCCGTATCCGTTCCGATCCCGATCCAGGTAAGTTGGAAGCTTTTCTGGATAGTTTGAGTGCTAGTGTTGCCATGTTCGGTATGCGTTTTGCACCTTCAAAGTGTAAAATGCTACTACAAGATTGGGTTGATCCAGAGCCCAGTCTCACTCTAACTGGGGAAGTAGTAGAGGAAGTAGACAAATATTGCTATCTAGGCAGCTATATCTCACCCGGCGGACGCATCACAGATGAAGTGTCGGCGCGCATACAAAAGGCTCGATTGGCATTTGCCAACTTGAGACATTTGTGGCGCCGTCGCGACATCCGGCTGTCTGTGAAGGGTTGAGTGTATGCTGCAGCAGTTCGGCCTGTCCTACTCTACAGCGCAGAGGCTTGGCCACTAAGGGAACAGGATAAAA